CAGTCACTTACTCTCAGCCCCTTAAGCAGTTATGTGTCTCTGCATTAACCATTGCCCACTGCAAAAAGTTCTCTAAATAAGGCTGAGAGTAGCACAGATCTATCTTCATCCTCATACCTATTTGACAACATGACCACTTAGCGAAATAACAACAGTGGGTTCTCCACTAGGGCCCAGGACTTCCCAAACCATGGACTTTTGACCAGCCTTACAATATTGTGTATGGTTTCCCTTCTTTGGAGCAGTTCTCAACTGCAATCAGAAAAGCAGCTTGGTTACCCCTATAACTTTGATGCCACTATTACACTACTAGCACCATCTTGCTGAGCAAGTTGTTAATGTTGAATATAAGGCCCAGTGCTAGCTAAGACCACTCATATCCTTTCTCCACCTATGGCCTGTAGAACACTTCCCAGTAGTATGAAAACTACTAAACAGGTAGGAAACTTTCCAATTGGTTCAAGATTGATTTCTTTATGTCATGTAACCAAAGTTTGTGGTGTCTTCAGCAGTAAGATCTAACTCTATCATGGGCAGCTAAGACCAATGGCGATAACTTGTTCTGGAGACCTTGGATGCCTCCCTGACTAATAACTCACAGGGATAGATCCCATTGGGAGCAGCTCTGTTCACATCTGCAGGGTACTTCTGTTTAAACTCATGTGTGCATGTGTGTGGATGTGAGTGTGTGCATGTGTGCATGTGTGTGCGTAATATCATCAGTCTTCATTAACCCACTACCTACCCCATCCCCTGTCCTGCCTCCTCAGCCCTATCCCTACTTAAACCTTTAATCCCCAGGATTCTTTGTTCTCTCTTCCATATCCCATATATTCTATCTCCTTCTATTTTTAAGAAAACAATCTCCCTCAACCATATTATGCATATCTTTCTCTATTTACAATTATAGAAAAAAAGTTACTCGTCTTTAGTGAATCTTTCATAAGACACCACCATTCTCTCATTTTTTTTTTACATTTTATTGGTTTGACATTTCTTATTGTAATACTGTGTGCAGAGATGCTGATTCCCAGCTGGTACTCTGTACAGTCATACTATCTGTTAAAATTAAAATTTCCACACCAGTTAGTAAAGGCTGAAGCACAGCCTCCTGGGAGTCCTTATAGACCAACCCATTAGCAAAATAAATGTGCACCGTTGCATGCCACTGGAGTTTGCCATTGTTTGCTATGGAGCAAAAGATGACAACACAGACAGCGAGAAAACACACATTTCACTGCAGCACTATAGATGTTAGGCATAATCAAAATGGGATATCTGGTTGGGAAACTGTTATCAAACCTGTAATCTCAGTACTCAGAAGATAGCATCATGAGCTCAAATTCAGACTTAGCTACCAAGTGAAATGCTGGCTCAGAGAGGGAGAGAGAGAGAGAGAGAGAGAGAGAGAGAGAGAGAGAGAGAGAATATGAGGGCGAACAGAAAGAGAGAGGGAGCTAGAAGAATATCCAATTATCCCAGAAACATAACATGGTTTAGACATACTTTGGGTTTGGATTATCACCCATGAAAAACTGCGCAGGTATCAACAACATTGCATTAGATGGGAAGCCACTGCTCTTATACAGTACTAATGCTCACAGCAGGGTAACCACACAAAATAGAAATCATAGCAAAACATAAGGAATGTCACTTCACATTTACAAAGAGTATAAGGTATATCTAGTTATTATTAGCATTTCTGTATGTTTAACTGCGTATTTAAGTAGGTTTATCATCAAATGATACTGTAGTTGGCTCTTTTACTACTAACATACCCGAGGGACAAATTGTATTATCGCTGTAGATTTTTAAAAGGACTTTAACAAACTAGGAATCATTTCTTATTTCTGAAAGAAATATAAATCCTAAACGAGATAAAATAAACATACCTCGCTGCTATTAACGTTTTGCTGAGGAAGTTTTAAAGCCGCTTCCATTATGTCAGAAACAAAACAAAGAAACCTATGAATAGTCCTCCATCCCCCGTGATTCTATACCATCCTGGAGGTTTCAGCGGATGTAAAAGGAAAGAAAAAAATTAGAGACATCAGGATCACAAAGACAACAAAATGATCTCTTTGTAAAAGGAGAATCATTTTTATGTCTATTGTGAGATTCAGCAAAGGAGAAAATTTTTACATTGTTGAATAGCAGGGCTCCCTCTAGGAGAGGAGAGTTACAAGTATGGGTGAAAAAGAACCGTACACCCTTAGACCGGAATTAGAAGTGTCTAAGTGAGTTTACAGGGTTTTTATTATTAAGTTTTTAGGTGTTTAATCATGGCACTGTGGTGTATATGTCTTCACACCTTGTTCTCGTTTGTTTTCTTTCCCCACCTCCCTCCCCCATATCCTCTTTCTTCTAGTTACTTTGCTTTCTTCTTCCATTCTCTGTGAGTGGGAATGGCCCCCACAGGCTCATACGTGTGAATATTTGGTCCCAGTCGGTGGAACTCTTTGGGAAGGATGAGGAGGTGTGGACTTGAAGGAGGAGATGCATCGCTGGAAGTGACTGTGAGGTTTCAAAAGCCCACACCAGGCCCAGTTAGCTCTCCCTGCTTTCTACTTGCAGGTTCTTTGTAATCTCTCAGTTGCTGCTCCAGCACCATGCCTGCCTGCCTGCTGCCATTTTCCCGGCTGTAAGGTCATAAACTCACCCTCTGGATTGTACTGATTCTTTAATAGAACTCCTCATGTTGTGGGGACCCTCAACTATAAAATTATTTTGTTGCTACTTTATAACTATAATTTTGCAACTGCTATGAATGGTAATGCACATATCTGCTGTGTGATCCCAAAGGGGTCATGACCCACATATTGAGAACCACTGGATTAGAAAATGATGGAATTCCCAAACAGTTTTAACTTGCATCTCTCTGGTGGCTAAGAATGTTGAACATGTTTTAAAATATTTATTAGGCACTTGTATTTCTTTGTGGAGAACTGTCTATTTAATTCATAAGACCACTTACTGATGGGTGATGGGGTGGGGATTGTATTTATTTTTTGCAGTTCTTTATATATCTTGGATATTAGTTCCCTGTCTGGTGTTAGTTGGCAGAGATCTCTGCCCTTTCTATAGATTGTCTCTTCACTAGAGGGATGGCTTCCCTTGCTGCTAGGAGCATCTTCATTTCATGCGATCCCATTTGTCAATCTGGGGCAGGGGTTTCCTATAGTATTGTAGTCCTGTTCAGAAAATCCTACCCTACATGTTCTCACATGCAGTTTCAAGTCTGACATTAAAGTCTTCGATCCATTTTGAATTGGTTTTTCTGCAGGGTAAGAGATATGGGTTTATTTCATTCGTAGCTACATTTGGAAATCTGGTTTTCCCAGCACCATTTCCCAAGGAAGCTGCATCTTACATTTATATATTTGACAGCTTTGGAAACAAAACTGAGGTTGTTATAGCTGTGTGGGCTCATTTCTGGATCTTCTCCTCAACTGGCAAATGTGTCTCTTTGTGCCAGCGTCCTATCATGGCTCTACAATATAATTTGGACTTGATATTATTCCTTCTGTAGCTTTTTTTTTTCTGCCAATGATTGCTTTAGCTATTTTGGGCCTTTTAAATTCATAGTTTGAAAATATTTATACATTTGATTTTGAGTTATATACATAAAATTGAAATGTATGTAAAATTGTAACATTGCCTCAGCATTGTGAGGCCTATAAATAATGTATTAACAATGAATAACTGTAGAACTCAAATTTTGGTTTCTAAATATTCCCCACTAAAAGGCTCCATAAGACAATTTGAAATAGCTCCCAATGACCACAGTCTAAATTTGGGCATCAAAATAAATAATGGTAGCTAAGGATATATCCTACTTAAAAATGTTCTTTTTTTGAGCCACCAATGATAGATGAACTATCGAAGGATTCCTTCAGAAACATTCTGTTTCTGAAACAAAAAAAAAAACCACCGTTTTTTGAAAATCATATAAATAAGCAAATAAAGGAAAAATTAGAAATGCTATATAGCAAGTTCCAGGTCAACCAGGGCTCCTTAGTGAGACCTTATCTCAAAAATAATCATCTATTGCCATTAAAACTAGTCATTTCAAATTTTAAAAGGAACAGCAAATAAAATTATCTACCAATGAAATTACCATAATTACTTATTAGTTGCAAAGCAGGAAATGAGAATTTTACAGCTTAATAATCTAGCAGGCATCATGATTGTCACACAGGATCAACAAGGGAAGGGGAGCCGAGGTGTTGCTGAGCATCGCAGAGGAATGCTTTCCAAACTTAAGGCTGGGAAATTCTTAGAGCAGGAAGACAGACATAAGGTGCCTTGATGAGAGTTTCATACAAACTGCTCCACCAACCCACAATGACAGGAACCTTCTTGTCTCACGTTCCTCCCAAATCTTCCACCCATACCTATCCTAGGGCTTTAACTACAGCCTTGACACATTGTAGAGCATCCTGAGAAGGAAGTCACAACTGAGAGATTGTTCAGATAACACTTACCTTTGGGCATGTCTCTGGGGGAAATGTCTTGGTTGTTAGTTGACACAGGAGGACTAGATCACGCAGACAGCATCCATTTCATGGGCCCAAGGTCCTGAGACTATAAGAAGCTAGCAAATCACGTGCCTGTGTGAAAGCCAGCTACACAGCATTATGTCTGCCACAAGTTCCCACCCTGATCCCCCTCACCGATGGACTGGGACCTGTAATATGAAAAGGCCCTTCCCTCCCCTAAGTTGCTCTCAGTCATGGTATTTATCACAACCGCAGAAGGAAACTAGAATAACAGAGGAGCATAGGCCAGTTTCAGGAGAGCAGGGCAAATAAACAACACTCTGACGAGGGACCAGAAGTTAGAGGAAAGGAAGAATATACAACATTCAGAAAGGGCCATTTATTACTACAACTTGCCAAAAGAAGACAAATAACAGCTCGAACACATAAAAAATATACCTCCAAATATTAAAATAAAAATGTTGTGAGGTAAACCCAGAAGAGACCAAACCGTGGGCACTCTTAAAGCCAAAGCCAAAGTCTTTATTGCCAGTCTACAGATGCACAGGGAACTTGCCCAGATCACCATTCTGGTGAGGCTGGGAAGATCAGAATACAGAGAGACATGCAGACTCTGGAGGCTTGGATGCTGATATTTCCGAGGGAAATAAGGATTCTCTCAGGAACTAGGCTTTGGAGGCATTCATGTGACATTCTGGTAAAGCATCTGGCTATCTTCCGCCTGTGTTCAGAGATCTTGAGTGAGGCTGAATTAAAAAGTAACGGATTAGTTTGTTTGGTGGAGGAAGTCCTAAGATAAGACAGCATTCAAGCTGTGTCCTGGTCAGTTCTCACTGCTCTTATCCAGGCCATCAGGGAGAGAGCAAGTGGAGGAAAAGCATATGAAAAGATATGCCTCATGAAAGAGAAACCACCATTCTACACTGAGACCACAGGAAAGGTAAGCACCAAACTACTAAAGACTCCATCTATTGACTACTCAAATTTATTTGAAAGGAAAGAATCTCAACTGAGTATACCACTTAAAGAGTTTCCTGGTTGTTTAGTTAGCCTTCCATCAATTTGACACAAGCTACCGCCATCTGGAAAGAGGAACTCCCAGTTGAGAAGGTGTCTCTGTGAGATTGGCCCATAGACAGATCTGTTAAGTTTTTTTTTTTGGTTTTTTTTTTATTATTGAGTGATGAGGGAGGGCCCAGCCCACATTGGGAGTGTTATCCCTGGGCAGGTAGGCCTGCATGGATAAGAAAGCAGGCTGAGAAAATGATGTAGAGCAAGCCAGCAAGCAGTGTTCCCACATGGTCTCTGTATCAGTTCCTACCTAGAGCTTCCTGCCTTTGAAGGACCCCAACTCGTCTTAACCACAGTTATGCCGTTCTGCAAAGGTTTTCAGATAGCAAGCTTAATTAAGGGCTTCCGGAGTTCAGGGCCTCCGGAATGCTGAGCAGATAACAAGCTCCATTAAAGGCCTCCGGAATTCAGTGCCTCCGGAATGCTGAGCAAAGATACCTGAGGTTAGAGCAAAGACGGCCTTATCTGGCTGCGAGACAGGAGATTTATGGACTGGACATAGAAACAAAGAAAGAGAGGATTGCGAGGCCTGAGTCACGTATAAAGCGGGGCTCGTCACGAGTCAGGGGCTGTGCAATCAGACATCTGGTCGCCAGCCAGGAAAAGGGGAGGCAGGATAAGAGGAAAAGTAAACCGCTGAGTAGCCCCCTCATTGTTATCTAGGTTAAGAATTTACCACCCTGCATCTCGCTTCTGTAAACCTCGCTTTTTGCTCTCCTATAAAAACCCCTCACCCCCAACCTGCAGGCGCGCAAGTCCTTCGAGAGACTTGGTCGCCCCAGGTACCTGCGTATCCAATATCCAATAAACCTCTTGCTGTTTGCATCCGGCTGCGTGTTTTCGACTGATCTTTGGGCATGGGGTCTCTCCCGAGGGAAGACGCCCACGGGAGTCTTTCACCTTCAGTTCCTATCCCGACCCCTTGATTTCAGTTATAGACCGTGACCTGAGAATTATCAGATGAAACACACTCTTTATTACTCAAGTTGCTTTTGGTCATATTTTATCACAGCAATAAAACCCCAACTAAAACACTGACTAAAAACAACTCCTAGAGAGTGGCTTCCCCAGGTCAGCAAACAAAACCATGACAGTTACGGTCCAAAGGAGCCAGACTTACACCCTAAGCTGTCAGCAGAACTGGCATTGAGATCCACATGATTTTATAGACATGGAGATCCTGGAGGCTTGATCATGAAGGCAGGGTGTGACAGGCTTGGAGACCTGCATGGAGTCACTGAGAAGCCATTGTGTGACAATGAAGCCTAAGTTGTTATGGAAACCCTATGATATCATCAGAGACACCAGAATCATAGAATATCTGCTGAAGGAATCTGCAAGAGTAGAGTGAACCAAGACAGGCTACGTGCTTTATAGGAGGAATAGTGGGAAGAGCAGGAGAGCCCTGGCCCGTGGGAGTCCAGATGCTTTCATCAGGAGTTCCAGATGACGGACGTGGAACTGTGGAGTTTTGTGTTTACCCTGCTGAGGCTCAGGCTTGCTTCAGTCTGATCTTTCCTAGTTACGGCCGCATCCCTCTTTAGGAACTGGAGCATTTACTCTGTGCCATTATCTATTCTTTAAGAGACTTCCAGAGTCTCAAAGGAGACCTTGCACTAACATTTTTTAACTGTATTGGAACCGGAACAGACTATGAGGACTTCTGAAGTTGGACTGAAGACGTTTTGCATTGTGAACTATCCCCGGCCCTATGAGGACAAAGAGTAGAAAGTCGTGGCTTAAGAGCAATACACTTGGTATGAAGTTGACAGGAAGCAGTAGTGATTGTCATCTTGACAGGAGCTAATATCCAGTAGGAAGCAAGCCTCTGGGGATGTCTATGCAGATGTTTCTAGATTAGCGTCTTTGGGGTGAGAAGTCCCACACTAGTGTTTGTGGTGCCATCCACGTTTGTGGTTTGTGTGGACTGGAGTCCTGGACTTGAAGGACCCCTCGTTTTAACCACAGTTATGTCGTTCTGCAAAGGTTTTCAGATAACAAGCTTAGCTCAGGACCTCCGGAATGCTGAGCAAATAACAGGCTTAATTAAGGGCCTCTGGAATTCAGGGCCTCCAAAGATACCTGAGAATTAGAGCAAGGACAGCCTTATCTGGCTGCAAGACAGGGATTTATGGACTGGCCATAGAAACAAAGAAGGAGAGGATTGCGAGGCCTGAGTCACGTATAAAGCGGGGCTCTCACGAGTCAGGGGCTGTGCAATCAGACATCTGGTCGCCAGCCAGGAAAAAGGGAGGCAGGATAGGAGGAACAGTAAACCGCTGAGCAGTCCCCTCATTGTTAACCAGGTTAAAAATTTACCACCCTGCATCTTGCTTCTGTAAACCTCGCTTTTTGCTCTCCTATAAGAACCCCTCACCCCCAACCTGCCGGGCGCAAGTCCTCCGAGAGACTTTGCAGCCCCAGGTTCCTGTGTATCCAATAAACCTCTTGCTATTTGCATCCGGCTGCGTGTTTTCGACTGATCTTTGGGCATGGGGTCTCTCCCGAGGGAAGACGCCCATGGGAGTCTTTCAGACTGAAGAGCAGGGAGAAGACAAGCTCGGCTCTCTGCTTCTTGCTGTGGGTGCAATGCTCAGGGCAGTTCTTGCTGCCATGGCTTCCCCACCACGACTACTAGATCTTCAAGCTGTAAATCAGAGTAAACTTTTCCTTCCTAGAGTTGCTTTTGTCAGGCATTTGTCAGAGCAATGAGAAAAGTAACCAATACAGATGGGAAAAACAGTGCAAGACTATTCTAGAATTGTATTTTCAATTTGAGAGTTATAGATAAATCTTCTCAATGACCAAAGAAAAAGATGAGAGTTTTTTCTTTGTGCTTTGTTCTGTTTTGACACTCTCACACTGTGCTGCCTAGGCTGGCCTTGAACTTGAGAGGTCACCTCTCTCACCTCCTTAGTGCTGGGATTTCAGGTGTGCAAACCCATGCCTGGCATAAAGTTATTTTCTTTTTAGTATTAACAAAGTAATTTATTTCACAGAGTCTAAAACCTGTGAGCAGCCTCCCTAGTGTGGATGGAAATCCAGCTTCTTAGGCCTCAAACTCAAAGTACTGTGGGTCAAAGTAGCGATGGTGGTGTAACCATCTTTGCCAACACTGCTGTAGCTCTTGCCATGGGGATGGAAGGCAACACTGCTGATAGGTCTGAAGTGGCCCTTGACTCTTCCAAACTCTTCTTCAAAAGCCACACGGAAGAATGCGGCCTCAAACTTGTCGATTCTGGTAGAGGTTGCGGTTACATCCATGGCTTCCTGACCACCCCCCAGCACCACGTTGCCAAAGTTGGGAGGAATGGCATGCTCTGTTTTCAGTGAATCTTCTGATGTTCAAGATGCATGGAGTCAAAGAGTTAAGCTGTGTTGTCCTTGAATGCAGTGACAAACGTGGTCATGTCTCTACACAACTGGATGTCATTGACCTGCCGGGAGTGTTTCTTAACACTCATCAGCGCCTCTCCAGACTTGGCACTATACCAGTTGGGCTCTTCATGGCCTGCGATGATGCACTCCCCTAGGAGTCCCCAGATGCCACTAGTGAATCATTGCAGGGGATCTTCATATAGGGCTCATAGCTGTTGATTTGACTTGGAACCAGTAGATCAAAGAAGCTCCCACAACACTGGTATCCCTTCTGCTTGTCTGTGGAGAACATGGTGCTGTTGTTCCCAAAGTCAAAGTCACAGGTTTGGGTGGTTGAGTTGGTCTGAGTAGAACCAGCTGCTTCCCTGTTTCACAATCCCGGAGATGACAGCTGTTGTCAGCGGAGCCAGTAAGGACATGGTCGGTGTCCCGGTCAGCATGCACACACCATACCGCTCCAGTATGGCCCCTGCAGGGTTCAGCCTCTCGCCATTCACAGATCATCACACACTAACAGTCGGGTGTTTGGTCACAGTGAAGAGGTCTCCTTTGCGACTAGACTACTCATGACCCTGCAGCAGGATGGGCTTCATCCCGGTGGCGACATGAGGAGGAAAGCAATGTGAGGAGGACCGAAAGAGGACTCGACTCAAAGGTTTTCCTTTTTCTCTTTTCCTTTCTTTCTTTCTTTTTAAGATAAAGGTAAAATAATTGCATCAGATGTTCCTTTTCCAGCATGGAAAGCTTAAGGCAGTGGTATAGCCATGGCAGACGATTGAGGAAGGACTGTGGTTTGAGACTCTTTGCCTGACCAAGATACTGCTTACTCATCAGGCAGATGCTTACAAATGCACAGGGTTCAAAGGTCATGTCATCCTCATCACAGACCTAAGGAAGATGCCTGAAGGAGGTACCGACAGAAAGCTTATGTCCCCACAACTCCTATGCTGAAATATCAATTGCCAATGACGACATCAAATCTGAAAGAACAGAATCCGTAGGAACGGAATTATGAAAGAGAACATAGAGACATTCCTGTCTTTTTGCTGTGTAAGATCATAGTGATCTTCCAATTTGGTCCTTGTCTTCTCTCCCTCCAAGAATGGAGTAAGCAGACAACAAAGGAAAACAAACAAGGGGGACCTTTATTTGCCACTTGGGAACTTTTTACATGGCTTAGGGGAAACTTGAAATAGGGAAGTAGAATCAGGGTGCCGGACAGTTGAGAGAGAGAGAGTGGCGGGGGACACCTCTAAGTTCCCAGTGGCCTGCGGTGCCTGGCTGAGAGGTTCCAAGTGTTATAGTGCCAATGGAGGGCAGCCCCTTGCAGAGCACACCCACAGGTCTGTGGAGGGTGATAGGGCTCCATCTCCAGCAGGTGCTGAAGGCTGAAGCAAGTCCCTCTGTCTACAGCCCTATTAATAGGCCTTGACATCTTTAGGGGTAGGGTTCTGTCTTTAAGGCTTGAGCAGTTTCCCCTGAGCAGTTTCCCTTCTTGTCCCATCCTGATAAATACTCTAAGAAGTTTGGCTCCAAAAGTTTCATTCCTCCTCCTCTTGAAAGCACTGAAAGCTCTACTTGGGCCAGAGCTAGATTAGTAAAACTGCTACGTGAGTTTATATAGAATCAGGCAGGCTCTGATTGGCTGTGTGTGTGTATACAAATAAGGTATGAATAGAGGCCAATAAAGAGCTGTCAAGCCTGGAGATGAGAAGTCAACGCTCCCCAAAATCTGGGAGAGGTATCAGTCCGGGAACTAAGAACCAGGGAAGGTGGAAGGAGTAAAGTAAGAAACCCCAGCCTCACGAGGGCCACAAGGCAGAAGCAGCCTACTGGCTGCAATGAGGCATTAGTGTCTATGGGAGTTTGTTTCCAGCCGCCTGGGGCCTTCACTCCCAGCTGACACAACCAAAGTCCTGATCTCCCTGGGCCCACCCATTACTGCAGGTTGTCTGAGGCCGGGGTTGCAGGGAGCTCCTGTATCTTTCACCAGGAAGAAGACAAACCCTTGAGAGACACCGAGTGTGAATGCACTCTGATCTTGCGTTTCCCAGCCTTCGGAGTGTAAGAAAGGGTTTTCTGATTTTATTTATCTGCCTCTTTGTGATGATGCATTGTGGGTGTCATCTTGCTGGGAAGGAGGGATGACCCGAGGCTTGGTAAAATCTTCCGACTGTGACTATGAGAACATTTCTAGAGGAGATTGGCGTTTGGACCACAACTGGAATGGGGGAGACCCACCCTGATGAACTGGTGAGCCAAATGGAACAAAACCCAGAAAGGAGAAACTCGTTCTCGCTTACCTAACCCTTCTCTCAGAGCAGGTACAGTTTCCTGCAGCTCCTATCTCTGGCCGTCAGACTCAAGTCCATCGCCATTTAGACTCCGATGGCACCAGCTGCCTTGGGGTTGGGTGGGAACTCTTAAGCATGGAGTCTCCTGCTAGGCAGCATCACTAGTCTCCTCTCACCCTGTGTTCTTGAATTGGGCTGCAGCTTTCCAGCTTGTCTACCATTGTGGAACTGCTAACCTGCTGGTCATGTGAGCCACTCTAACCCCTTCTCAACACAAGCATCTCTATTCTGTAGATTCTGTTTCTCTGGAGAACCTTTACTACTAAGTACTTTTGCTGTAACAGCTTGAATGGACTAAGACAGATTCTCATGATAAAGTGTTTTATTATTTACTTATTTACTTATTGCTATTAGTGTTGCTTTAGTATAGATGCAGTGGGATAAGAGTCCATGAGGGCAAAGTTGGGGGCATGGTGACTAGAGTTGGAAGCCAAGAACTTACATCTTCAATTAGAAGCAGGAAAATGGAGAGTACTAGAAATACCATGAGTCTTAAAACTCTTAAAAGTCCACCAGCATACTTCTTCTAGCAAGGGTATACCCCCTAAACCTGCCCAAACAGCATCACCAGCTGGGGATCAAGTAT